CATTATGTGCTATATCATACCAGGTATATTTATTTATCCTCTTTTTCATAAAATATGTATTACTTATTACCAAACCTCTTTCTACACATAGCTCAATTAAAGGCTCCCCATTTTCATTTACCCCTGGCATCCCAAATTTACCTACTACTCCCTCCACAACATTCTTACCCACTTTAGCATTGAAATCCCCAACGCAAGTACTCTCACACTTGGTTCAAAACTCCCCACGCATTCACTCAACATTTCCCAAAATCTCTCTCTCTCCTCTACACTTCTCTCTTCTCCAGGTGCATATATGCTTACTATAACCCACTTTTCACATCCAACCTTTATTTTACTCCACATATCCTTGAATTAATACATTTATAGTCCCTCTTTTCCTGCCATAGCTTATCCTTCAATATTATTGCTACTCTTTCTTTAGCTCTAACTCTATTTGAAACCCCTGACCTAATCCCATTTATTCCTCTCCACTGAAACTCGCCCATCCCCTTCAGCTTTGTTTCACTTAAAGCCAGGACATCCAGCTTCTTCTCATTCATCCAGCTTCTTCTCATTCATAACATCCACAATCATCTCTTTCTTATCATTCGCACAACATCCACGCACATTCAGACTTTCCACTTTGACAATTTTCTTATTATTATTCTTTTTAGTAATTATTACAGGAAAAGGGGTTACTAGCCTATATACAGTATTGGTCTCATAGGCCACAAATGTTACTAGAAAAAGAAAAAATTAGAAAAGAAAAGAAAAAATTATAAAAAACGTAAAATAAAGAAATGCGATTTTGTGGAAATCGCTGATGTTGCCACCACCCAGTCATTTTGGGTCAACTTCTCGCCTCTGTATCTCGGTAAGTACTGATCAGAATTTGTTTTTTTTGTTTTATTACCTTCATAAAAATCTAATCTTCAATTCTGTAAGATTTTTTTTTTTTTTTTTTTTTTCAAAATTTCTTGGACACTGGAGCACCCCTTCAGATTTTGCCTTTGGACCCTGAAAGGGTTAAGCCAATTCCATTGCTCCTTTCTACCAAATTCTTAACTATTTTGCTAGTATATCTTCCATTCTATCAATTAAGCATATGAAACCACCCATTCAGCTATCCTATAACGTGCACAGAAGTCGGTAATTTGGTCAATTTTACAAAATTAAATAAATACTAATTTAAAAATAGAATTCATATAAAAAATGTAGACATTCCTGGCAATAAAACATTTCCTACTCTGTCCATTAATCCCATACCCAGGCCTCTTACATTACACTTGCTTTCCATTCTGAATTCATAATCATGCAAAAATAGAAGATTTACTCTATTCTCAGATAATAAATGTCACAAGGAATAATTGGTCATGGTTTACAGCATCACAGTAACTGAATCAGACCTATTAAAAACCCACAGAACAGAATGGGTGGTGTAGAAGAGGCCTTACCTGTGCTCAGGAAAATTAACAAAAATCAAATATTTCCACTACTTGCCTCGGTGGGAAACGGCCAATTTGTTGAAAGAAGATTTCCACTAATTTCAGCCCAATTTCAACCAACTAAAATCATCTCTATTTCAGTAGTGTTTTTCTCTCTTATCAAATGATACCAAGAAACAGCCACTAAAACCATAAAAACCATCCTAGAAAATACAAAAATTACTATTTTAACCCTTTGACTGTTTCAGGCCCCTCTCTGAAACTGTCATTCTATGTCGCCAAATATTTGAAAAAAAAAAAAAAAAAAATTTTCTTATGAAAATGTTAGGAATATTTTTAGTAGTGTTTTAAGCCTAAAAAAAATTTTTGCCATCAGTACTTACCGAGATATAGAGCCGCAAAGTTTGCAGAAAGTGACGTGCGTACGGCAACAGCGGCGACCGCCGCCCACCCGGTATTCTTTTATTTACTCTAATTCAAAGGTTTCTTGCATTTTTCAATATTTTTCTGTTCCAGGTAACTTATGTGGCCTGTGAGACCAGTGTAAGGTGCATTCTTCAAATATACACTCATTGTTTACAACACAATAACAGAACAAACTTTATCACTATTAGTTTGTGTATACACTTTGTTTACACAAACAAACAATACAAAACAATGTTTATTACTATTGTTCCATAATATATATACATATGTACAGTCACTAAACACGTTCCTAGAACTGCTGCAGCTTGTGGAACTCTTTGAAACATGGGTATAAGCAGAGGGGCACTTCACACTCCTCACACATAAAACGAGTGTCTCTGCGTGTTTGTGGGCGTTTTGTGGTATGCATACATACATAACACCTCTTCTGAGCATTTTTCTTGGCAGTAGTAGGAGGCAGTTGTATGGGGTAGTGATCACCAGGCCTGAAACGAGATGACGTGTGTGGGCGCTGGTCTATTGCAGGAGTTGCTCCTTGGTACTTTGCAATTATTTGTCTGATTACTGACAGGCAAAATTCACCATATTTTGGTGTTTTGTTGGTCTTCAACTTGTATATGTTATAAGCATTTAGCATAGAGATATCAACAAGATGGAAAAAAGTTTTATATACCACTTATAACTCTTGCGTACACAGTCTGCAAACCCAATCTGCATGTCACATTTGTCCACTAAGTGCATATTGAGGTTGTAGTCCATGACAGCTGCAGGCTTTAGAATGGGTTCATTGGTCTCTCTGTTGTCCTTGCCACTGGGTACCATTTCGTTTCTGTGAACTGATGTCAACAATGTGACATCACGTTTGTCATGCCACCGAAATGCCATGATGTCATTGGCAGCAAAGGCTTGCACCTCACCTCTGCAAGTGCCAGCGTTGAACCTTGGCATATGTTTACGATTACCACGCACTGTGCCACACACGTCTGTCAAGTTCACTCGCAAGAAATCACTGAGTAAGGGGCTTGTGTACCAGTTATCAGTAAATAACATATGCCCCTTACCAAGATATGGTTCCATCATTGTTCGAACCACATCACCAGAGATACCCAATAACTTCATGGTATCTCTCAAAGTATTACTGCCAGTGTACACAATTATATCCAAAACTAGACCACTTCTGCAATCACACAGTACAAATAGCTTTATACCAAAGCGTTTCCTCTTGCTTGGTATATATTGCTTGAATGAAAGTCTTCCTTTGAATAAAATCAAGGACTCATCAATAACAAGCTTCCTGAAGGGATGAAAATACATGCAGCACTTTTGTTTCAGGTACATAAACACATTTCTGATCTTATATAACCTGTCGCTTCTGTCAGGCCTGGTTTTGTCTGAAAAGTGCAACATATGTAACAGCATCAGGAAACAATTGACACCTATAATGTCACTAAAACCTGGAGTTGAAATCAGGCGTTCTGTTGCCCAGTATGTGGTGACAGTGTGCTTATACACATGTGGCATAAGCATTATTGTGGCAAAAAACAGGTACATCTCTGCCACAGTTGTCTCCTTCCACTTGTGTAGCCGTGATTTTGGTGAGAGAATTGTATTTGCCGTGGTGTAATCACAGTATGTGTTTGTTTCCCTGACAATGATGTTCATCAGGGGTTCATCGAAGAATAACTCAAAGCAGTCCAGTTCACTGGCATTGTTCCCAAGTGGACAAGATGGCTTTATTCCACTTTGTGTTTCATCAAAGTCATGGGGACTGGGAACAAACTCGTCACCGTCCTGCCAATCCCAGATGCGGTCTGCTGGTGGTGTCTGGATATTGTACTGTGGTTGTGGTTGTGCAGGTTGTGGTTGTGCAGGTTGTGGTTGTGCAGGCTGTGGTGGTGCAGGTTGTGGGAGTGTGGGGCAGGGTGAGGCTGGTTGTTGTGCTGCGTCAGCAGCAGCGTGGGTAGTAGTGTGGCCCGCTGATGGTGCCACATGGGCCGTGCCACCCTCACTATCACCACCATTGCCTCCTCCCTCACTGTCACCATTCATACCCATCGTTACAATATCGTCATCTTCAGTATCAGGTCGTGGTGTAGGGCCACGGGATGTGTTCCCAGAGTTTCTCCTTCCCCTTGGAACAACATATGAAACACTACCAGACCGCATGCTACGTCGTACATACTGCCACTTCACTGGGGAATATTCACTCTCACTGTCACTAGAACTGCTTTCAATGACCTTGAAATCACTATCACTATCACTGCTATCATCTGGGTGTTGTACACGACCAAATAGTTTCCTCTTTCATCCTGGTACAGGCGAACGTGAACGTGAACAAGCCGGCACAGCACCAAAGGTGGAAGGTTGTGGGTCATCTGGGTTTTCATCACTAATTACGTTATCCTGGGCACTTTTTCCGGTAACACTCACTTCAAAACCCTGGAATTCACTGTCACTGACATTTTCATTGCTGTTAGAGCTATCACTTGGGAACAAAAGACCTCCAATCTGCCGAGGAGTGAGGAACTTCTTACCGAGAGGCATGGTGAAAATGGACTAACAACATGGCGTTCCCACAATGCACCGCTGGGTCCCAGATTTTTTTCACAGGGTGCACACCGACCACTGAGACCCATTCTCTCTCGTGTAGGCCTACCAGGCCTTTGGCGCTTGATTTGAAGCCGCTAGAATTTGTGCGTATAAATACGTCAGAAACATTGGCTCGTAAGACGTATTTATATGTCGGAAACAGTCAAAGGGTTAAACCAAATACGGTCAGTTTTACTTTTCCTATTATGTAATGCATTGTGGGCAGGAATTTTTTTATGTTGTGCACACTCATTCTTTCATATCTGGGCCAAACTTTACAGCTTTAAGTTCATCTGAGTGAGCTAAGCTCATGGGAGAACTATGAGAAGCACCCTGGCCTATGTGATGTAGTTCTAAGTGACAGCCACTTAATGGGTTAAAGACCATGGGTTACTTGGAAATAAAATCTGTTTTCTAACTGTAATTCATAACAATTAGATATGCATTTCAGAGCTTTTTATAGACTGGTAAGAACATTGCTTCTTATACACGAGACTATAATTCATCTATAGTCAACATGTCATGCAATACTACAAAATATGGATTAACTTTACTAACCTGAGCACATGAATCATAGAAACCAGCCAACAAAACCATGGCTTTTGCTCTGGAATAAAACTGAATTATATTTCCCATAATGTCTGGCTCTTTACGCCAGTCCAAACTTTGTAAGTAATTTGCAGCCATGATATATATTTCTCGTTGACGACAAACATTAGCAAAGTACACAATTCTTTCTGTGTCTCCAGACTTCAGCAAGCATTTCATTGCCTTGACCTGTGAACGAAAAAGAAAGAAAGAATTTTATGTTGATTTTGTGATAAAATGGGTACTCAAATAATTGAATTTCCATAGCTAAGATAATTGTTAGACTTTCAACCTAACTTTAAGTCCTTAATTAAATTACTGAGCCCCTCAATTAGCAAGTTCAGTGAACTTTGGCAAAACTTCAAAACTGCAATTATAAAATCTGTTCCTAATTTGGATAGACATTTCAACAGAATTATGAAGCAATATAAAACATATATTTACACATTATTTGGTGTTTTTTCATTATTTTGTGCAATTACTAATATTAATACAGTATTAAGTTTAGCAGTATTATTATTACAGTACACCCCCTCCTACTCTGTATCCAGCTATTGTGTTTCTGCCACTTTGCTATTCACTTTGTGTGCCCTACTTCCATCTTTCACTGAAAAGTAGCCAGCTTTCATGCCAGTGTGATATATTTATCAGTCCAGTCTCTATTACTGAAACATAACAATTATTTCTTCTCTGTTAGATTTTACCAAATGTATTCATATTGTGTATATGACTATTCTATGTATGTAGAGAGAACTCGCATTTATTTGTCAGAGATTGGTAAAGAGCCTCAGATTTATGAGTCAAAAACCGTAAATGACAAACAGCACATCTTCCTAGCAGTGTCAGAACACACACTGTGCTGTGGTGGGGTGACTGGCCACACACCACCTACCATCTCTACAGTCACTCAACCATCAATACATTTTACAACTTTTCATCACTCTGGTTTGTCTATATATTAACCATGGTACAAAAATGAATAGGAGTAATGCTGGAGGTGCTAATAAGAGGAATAAGCATGAAGTTTGGGTATTTTTAAAAGGTAAACAAGAAAGTTATGGAGTTAAAATAGACCATGATGTTGAATTAGCTATTCCTATTTTCACTAGAAGGAATGCTTGCCCATCGTCTATGGAAGATATACATGGTAAATGTGACAAGCACAAGCTTCTCTGAAGCCTTACTTAAGATTATTAAATAAGCAAGTTATTTACATTATGTGTAAAAAATTTTTTTCAATGGTTCCGACACACAAGCTATGGGCACAAAATAAATATATTAGGTAAATTTAACTTAGGATATACCAGTGAAATCAAACAATGTACACTTGTTTGAGTGTCTAAGCCTCACTACATCCAACCAGGCTTATTGTGGCAACACAAACCCCTCTACGTATTTCTAGATCAACAACAAATGACACATACAATGTAAAGTGTTAAAACCTTTCTTCATATTAATGAATTAAAAAATGAAAAAACTTGTTTTGACTCTTTTCAAGGGTTCATGGAATATAACTCAATTTTTTCTCCACGTTGATCACTCCACTCACTGCTTTTTCATGTATAGCTGTCTTTAGGAACATTACCCTCATAAATGGTGGGAATACCATTTATTTATTGACTCTGACTCAGTATGAGTGTTAGTTATACTACTTTTATTTTATGTACTGAGCACTAATTCTGTACTGTCTGGTTTGAACTCTGTCAATAGTGAATGGATTTAGAATTTACCAGTTTCATGGACAAAGCCTATTCTAAGATAAAATGGACTATGTGTCTGATTTGCATTGTTGTTGCCAGCACTGTATTTTATGGTCAGCCTTAACCAGTAAGTATCTGCACACGTGTCCTGTTTTGACTTGGGTTCGTGTGCGAATGAAATTCACACTCTGATACTTGTCCATACTGTATTATTTACATATTGTATGTTGTAATAATTATTTCTAATGCAGACTCTAAATTTATGAGTGTACAAGATGCCTTTATTTAGTAATGAAAGGGGCATTTTACACTTCACTTGAGAATGGTAACCAAGAGCAAGATTTCAGGTTTAAACTATGAGACGGCTTGCCTACACCAGGTTATACCTTGAGAGCAAGGGTAAGCAAGTCTCACAGTGTGACATGTGGATCAACAGCTCTTCAGAGAGCACATTAACTGGTTCAACAAAATGTTAAGACAGGATTTAAGTGAGATTAAAGGAGGACCATTACTAATGGAATATAGTTTATGTAGATTACAATGATTAAAAAATTAATAGGGTTTTAATCAATATGGAAAAAATTAATAAGTCTTAGATTACAGCTGTGGGAACATAGTGAATAAAGCATACGTTGTTTAGTTGAAAAAAATCACAAAATCACACTGGATAAATCCATACAAATCACAAATTAGAGTTCAAAGTTAATGCTGGGATGAAGTTAAGCATTTTTTCTTTTTGCTACATGAGCCATTTCCCACTAAGGAAGGGTGACCCAGTGAAAGAAACACATTCACCAATGCTCATTTAACAGCTGTCTTGCTAGAAATGCATGGCCCTCACTGAAATTATTATTACAATGACAATTAAGTCCCTTAAATTGGAATATAAGAGACATATAAAACAATTCAACTATTATATCCAGTAGCTAAATACAATAAAAAGATATTGCACACCAACAAAAATACCACAGTACAACAACTACAAACCTTATTTCCAGCTTGAGTGAATTTCTTAGTAGCTAGTTTATAATTTTCCTGGGCGTAAGCACACTCCGCCACTTTTTCTAATATTTGGTTACGAGCCGATTCATCCTTAGGCAGTGTGAACTTTTCTGCTAATTCTTCTGTAATCCAAACGTTATGTTCTACACACAGGTCTAGAGCATCAGAATACTGAAAAAAATATGAGTGAATATAAAATGACATGGATTATTAGAAGTATTACAAATACAGCTGTAAATGAATAAGCTTTTATTATCATATTTAAAGTGAAACTGTTAATATATCTCAAAATCTCTGAAGCATCATACAATGTAATGAACATTTACAATATTCTTTGGTATTATTTTGCACATTTAAAGCATCAAATTTCCTCTACAAACTCCTCTTTTTTAATGGTCACCTTGAGAATAATCTGTAACAGCTGTCATGTGCAGAGTACATATAAGATAAAACCATAAGAAAGATTATCAGAGTCTATTATTTTATATCAAATATTACTTTCGTTCACAAACAGGTGACCAGGTATGAAGGAATATTTCTTTCAGATTCTTTGAAGGCTCTCAAAAGTTTTCCTACTCCTGCAGCCTGGTCCTGGGCCAGGCTTCTCTGGTGCTTGTCTGATCAACCAGGTTTTTACTGCCAGCAGTCCTCTGGTCCACACATCCATCACAGCTAGGTTGATTTGACATTTAATGGAGCTACATGCCCAATTTCTTCTTGAAGGCTCTTAACAGTTGTTCCAGCAGTGTTACTATCTTGTGGTAGTGTGTTAAACAGTCTGGGACCACAGATGTTGATACAATGTTCTTTTATTGTGCCCATGGCACCCCTGCTTTCCAATTGTTTTATTTTATTTTCTCCCCTATCTTTCATTCCAGTATGTTATGGTAGTGAACATATTTGGGACAAGGCCCTCAAGTACCTTCTATCATGCATCTCTCTCTCCTTCCCTCCAGCAAGTACACAGAGTATTCATGACTTAAACTGTCTACTGTAACTGTTACCATTAAATCTATTATAGCTTAGATAATCTTAAGTTAATTTTAAGCCTGCCCATAATGCTCTGCATACAAGGGGCTCTTGACTTGTACCCCAACTACTATAATACCTTGTGCAACTATATATCATGTCCTAATAAACTATTATTATTATTATTATTATTATTATTATTATAAAAACCTTCCAGTAATTTAAATGCTTTGTTAGGTTAATGTAGGCAGTAAATGATCTCTGAATCTATTTCACCTCTGATCTCTCTCCTGCCATCAGGGAAGCTGTCAACACTGAGTAATACTCTAAGTGAGAGAATAAAATTTGAAGTGTCACCATTGGCACTATTTCCTCTATTTTAAAAGTTCTCAATAAGCACCCTGTTACTTTCCTAGCTTTCGTGATATTTGCCATATTGTGTTCTTTGAAAGGTCGGCTGACATTAGCACAACCATTTCTTTCACATATTCTTTTCACTGTATTTGGTGATCTTGCATTTGGTAATGTCTCTCTCTTGAATTGTTCATTCTTTCCTATCTAAGCAGTTGCAGTTTGTCATTGCTGAAAGTCATGTAATGCTTCGCTGTTCATTGGAAGACGGTTAAGGTCTTCTGGTAATTTTTTTCCGTGTCTTCCACCAAAATGATTATCATGCTAATTTTGGTATCAACTGCAAATCGTGATACAAAACTGTTGCAAGAGCTTTTACCAATGTCTGCTATGAGGATAAGCAAGAGTAAAGATGCCAGGTCTGTGTCTTGAAGTAATAATTTTTTATTTTTCCTAATGCTGGATTCTGCTCCGTTTACTACTAAAGTAGTCCCCCCAAATTCAAATAGGCTATGTTCCAAGACCACCTGTGAATTTTGAAAAACCACGAATTCTGGACACGGTTTAAAAAATGCCTACTTTTATAGTTTCAACCCTTAACCCTTTCAGGGTTGGTGCCATTCTAGTACGGTTTGCACGCCAGGGTTGGTGCCATACTAGTACGCATAAATTATAGCTCCTTCAAATCTAGTGAAAGCTGGTAGGCCTACATAAGAAAGAATGGGTCTATGTGGTCAGTGTCCGCAGTATAAAAAAATCCTGCAGCACACAGTGCATAATGAGAAAATAAACTTCGACTGTGTTTTTGGTTTAAAACAGTGACTTTGCAGTGTATTTTCGTATGCTATTTATGGGTGTACAGTGGACCCCCGCATAATGATTACCTCCAAATGTGACCAATTATGTAAGTGTATTTATGTAAGTGCGTTTGTACGTGTATGTTTGGGGGTCTGAAATGGACTAATCTACTTCACAATATTTCTTATGGGAACAAATTCGGTCAGTACTGGCACCTGAACATACTTCTGGAGTGAAAAAATATCGTTAACCGGGGGTCCACTGTATTCTAGTTTTCCTGGTCTCATTTTATAGAATGGAAGACATATTATGGAAATTGAGATGATTCTGATTGCTTTCACAATGAAAAGTGCCTTGAAATTGAGCTCAAAGTAGCAGAAATGTTCGATTTTTGCCAAAGTTCATAAGTAAACAAAACTTGCCATGCGTCCAATACACGTCAACTAGTGAGTCAAATATTCTTTCACAAGTGCGCTGATATTATACCATTTCAACACCATTTCTACACTAATGCAGTAGTCTGCATAACAGTAAATCTTCTATTTTTTTGTGAGAATAAAAATTCAAAGTGGAAAACAAAAGAAATGTAATAGAGGCCTGGGGACATGACTAATGAACAGAGGAAATGTTATTTTTGTGCCAAGAATGTCTGTCTTGCTTATTCTGGACCCTACTTGGAAATTAGCATCTTTTGAAATTTGTGTGAAATTGGCTAAATTGCCAATTTCTGACCAATTTACTGGATAGTTGAAATCGGTAAATGGGTGATTTCTTGTACTCATTCAATAGAAAAAATGGAGTTCTAGCAAAATAGTTATGATTTTTGTCGACTGGTACATTGGAATTGGCCAAAAATAAAGTTCAAAGTGGGCAAAATTGCCAATGCGTAAACATCGTCAAGACTGCTAAATTTGCGAGAGCATAATTCCGTAAGTTTTCCATCAAATTTCATACTTTTAGTGTCAATATGACTGGGCAAAGATTCTCTATCATTTCATAAGAAAAAACAATTATTTTCTTTTTTGAAAAATTTCCGACCCTGAGAACAAGTTTAGGAGAGGGCCTGCCAATCCTGAAAGGGTTAACCCTCCCTCTCAGAAACTAGTTCTCAGGGTCCCCCAAATTAAAAAAAAAAAAAAAAAAAAAAAAAAAAAAAAAAAAAAAAAAAAAAAAAAGATATTGTGAAAAGATATAGAATCTTTTCCCAGTCATAATGACACCAAAAGTATGAAATTTGATGGAAAACTTATGGAATTATGCTCTCGCGAAGTTAGCGGTCTCAACGATGTTTACGCATCGGCGATTTTGCCCACTTTGAGCCCCATTTTCGGCCAATTCCACTGTACTAGTCAACAAAAATCATTAATATTTCACTAGAACTCCATTCTTTCTATCGAACAAGTGCAAGAAACCACCCATTTACCGATTTCATCTACCCAATACAGTGGTCAGAATTTAGCAATTTTGCCAATTTCACACAAATTTCAAAAGATGCCAATTTCCAAATAGGGTCCAGAAAAAACAAGAAAGACATTCCTGGCACTAAAATGACATTTCCTCTGTTCATTAGCCATGTCCCAACGCCCCTATTACATTCTTTTGCTTTCCACTTTGAATTCTTACTCTCACAAAATACAGTGGACCCCCGCATAACGATGGCATCACAAGCGATTATTTCGCATACCGCTTACTTTAATTGCAAAAATTTTGCCTCACATACCGCTTAAAAACCCGCTTACCGATTTTCTTCCGAGACGCGCTCACATGTTCCGCCGGTGGCATTGTTTACCAGCCAGCCTCCGCGGTAACATCCAAGCATACAATCGGAATATTTCGTATTATTACAGTGTTTTCGGTGCTTTTTCTGGAAAATAAGTGACCATGGGCCCCAAGAAAGCTTCTAGTGCCAACCCTACAGCAATAAGGGTGAGAATTACAATAGAGATGAAGAAAAAGATCATTGATAAGTATGAAAGTGGAGTGCATGTCTCCGAGCTGGCCAGGTTGTATAATAAACCCCAATCAACCATCGCTACTATTGGTGGTACAGCTGCTGCTGCTGCTGCTGCACTGTCAGCTGCTGCTGCTGCTGCACTGTCAGCTGCTGCTGCTGCTGTAGCACCGTTGTTGGTGTGGCTTATTGAGAATACCAAGAAACAATTAACCCCAGAGGATTTGCCACCCAGGATAACCCAAAAAAGTCAGTGTCATCGAAGACTGTCTAACTTATTTCCACTGGGGTCCTTAATCTTATCTCCCAGGATGCAACCCACACAAGTCGACTAACACCCAGGTGAACAGGGAAAAATGCCTGGAACTAGTGCTCATATTGGTGAATTTAAAGCCAGCAAAGGTTGGTTTGAGAGATTTAAGAATCGTAATGGCATACACAGTGTGATAAGGCCTGTTCTGGAAGAAAATGCCAAACAGGACCTACAGTACTCAGGAGGAAAAGGCACTCCCAGGACACAGTGTCTCATCAGTCATTGCTGCATCTTCAATAAAGGTAAGTGTCATTTATTCTTCATTTAGTAGACTAGTACATGCACAATATATACTGTGCATGTACTACTCTACTATTGTGCATGTATCCTTCTCTTTGTGTGTGGGAAAATGTATATTTCATGTGGTAAATTTTTTTTTTCATACTTTTGGGTGTCTTGCACGGATTAATTTTATTTCCATTATTTCTTATGGGGAAAATTCATTCACATAACGATTATTTCGCATAACAATTACCCCTCTTGCACGGATTAAAATCGTTAACCGGGGTCCACTGTATAGAAGATTTACTGCTATGCAGACTACTGCATTAGTGTAAAAAATGGTATAAATAATATCGGCGCACTTGTGAAAGAATATTAGACACACCAGTTGACGTGTACTGGACGCTTAGCATGATTTGTTTACTTTTGAACCTTGGTAAAAATCAAACATTTCTGCTACTTTGAGCTCAATTTTAAGGTACTTTTCATTGTAAAATCAGTCAAAATCATCTCAATTTCTGCAATATGTCTTCAATTCTATAGAATGAGACCAGGAAAACTAGAATACAACAATAAATACCATACGAAAATACAGTGCAAAGTCGCTGTTTTAAT